GGATTTCTCCTTTTATATTAATTAATAATTGCTTTGTATATTTCAGAGCTCTTATGCTGGATGCATAGATATTTATGATTGTTTTATCTTCTTCTTGGATTGACTCCTTTATAATTATGTAATATGCTTCTTTGTCCTTTTTAAAAATTTGTGCTATATATATATATTTATTTATTTTAATTTTTAAATTATTTATTTATTTTTGTTACAGATGTTTCTCCTTTTTCCCCCATGGACACCCTCTTCCAAATCCCACCCTCACCCCCACCACCCCATCCCCAGCATTGTTGTCTACATCCATGATTATGCATATAAGTTCTGTGGTTTATCTCTTCCCTCATACCTGACACCCTCTTCTGAGGTTTGTCACTCTGTACCCTACTTCTGTGTCTCTGGGTCTATTTTGTTCATCAGCTTGTTTTGTTAATTATATTCCACAAATAAGCAAGATCATGTGATATTTGTCTTTCTCTGATTGGCTTGTTTTGCTTAGTATAATACTCTCCAGGTCCCTCCATGTCGTCTCAAAGGATAAGAGATCTTTCTTTCTTACAGCTGCATGGTATTCCATCATGTATATGTACCATAGCTTTTTTATCCACTCATCTATTGATGGACACTTGGGCTGTTTCCAAATCATAGCATTTGTAAATAGTGCTTCTATCAACATAGGGATACATATATTCTTTCTGATTGGTGTTCCAGGCTTCTTAGGGTATATTCCTAGAAGTGGGATCATTGGGTCAAATGGCAGTTCATTTTTTAACATTTTGAGGTAACACCTCATAGTTTAGTTTTCCATAGTGGCTGCACCAGTCTGCATTTCCACTAGCAGTGTTCTAGAGTCCCCTTTTCTTCACACCCTCGCCAACATTTGTTGTTTGATGATTTGTTAATGGTGACCATTCTGACAGGAGTGAGGTGATACCTCATTGTTGTTTTAATATGCATCTTTCTGATGATTAGTGGTGTTGAGCATTTTTTTTCTATGTCTCTTGGCCATTTTTATGTCCTGTTTGGAGAAGTGTCTATTTAGATCCTCTGCCCATTTTTCAATTGGATTGTTTGTCTTCCTTTTATTGAGTTGTATGAGTTCTTTATATATTTTGGAAATTAACCCCTTATCTGATGTATCATTGGCAATTATGCTCTCCCATATAGTGGGTTACCTTTCCATTTTGATAGTTGATTCTTTTGCTGTGCAGAAGCTTTTTAGTTTGATGTAGTCCCATGGGTTTATTTTTTCCTTTGTTTCTCTTGCCTTAGTGAAAATTCTGCTGCATGTGATGTCTGAAATTTTGTTGCCTACATATTCTTCTAGGATATTTATGGATTCATAAGTCACATTTAAGTCTTTTATCCTCTTTGAGATTATTCTTGTGTGTGGTGTAAGTTGGTGATCTAGCTTCATTTTTTTGCATGTAGCTGTCCAGTTTTCCTAACACCATTTATTTGAACAGGCGGTCTTTACTCCACGGTAAGCTCTTGCCACCTTTGTCAAATATTAATTGAACATAATGACTTGGGTCAATTTCTGGGTTCTCTGTTCTATTCCATTGATCTATATGCCTGTTTTGGAGCCAGTGACAGGCTGTTTTGATTACAGTGACTTTGTAGTAATACCTGATATCTGGTATTGTGATCCCTTCTCCTTTGTTCTTCTTTTTCAAGATTGCTGTGGCTATTGTTTTTTGTTTTTTTTGTTGTTGTTGTTGTTCCATATAAACTTTTGGAGTATTTGTTCTAGTTCTGTGGAATATGTCATTGGTATTTTGATGGGGATTGTGTTGAATCTATAGATTGCTTTGGGTAGTATGGACATTTTAATGATATTAATTCTTCTAATCCATGAACAAGGTATATGCTTCCACTTTTTAAAAAATATCTCCCTCTACTTCTAGTTTCAAAGACCTGTAGTTTTCTGTGAAGAGGTCCTTTACTTTTTTGGTTAAGTTTATTCTTAGGTATCTTAATTTTTTAGCTGCAATGGTAAATGGGATTTTTTAAAGTTTCTCTTTCTGTGAGTTCATTGTTGATGTATAAGAATGCTGTCAATTTCTTGATGTTAATTTTGTATCCTGCTACTTTGCCAAATTCATATATTAAATCTAGTAGAGTGTTGATGGAGTCTCCATGGTTTTCTATGTACAATATCATATCATCTGCAAATAGTGACAGTTTTACCTCCTCCTTTCCAATTTGGATCTCTTTTATTCTTTCTTCATATCTAATGCTGTGGCTAAGACTTCCAGTACTATGTTAAATAAGATTGTGAAAGTGGGCATTCCTGTCTTGTTCCTGTTCTTAAGGAAAATGCTTTTAGATTTTGCCCTTTGTGTATAATGTTGTCTATAGGTTTTTCATCTATGGACTTTGTTATGTTGAGATATGATCCCTGTGTTCTCATTATTGTTGTGCATTATTATCAGAAATGGGTGCTGGGTTTTGTTGATTGCTTTTCCAACATCTATTGATAAGATCATATGGTTTTTATCTTTCCTTTTGTTTATGTGGTGTATCATATTTATTGATTTGCGAATAGTGTACCATCCTTGCATCCCTGGGATGAATCCCACTTGGTCATAATGAATAATTTTTTCGATGTATTGCTGGATTCGACTTGCTAATATTTTGTAAAGGATTTTGGCATCTGTGCTCATCAGTTATATAGGCCTATAGTTTTCTTTCATTGTAGTGCATTTATCTGGATTTGGAATTAGAATTATGCTGGTCTCATAAAATGAGCTTGGAAGTCTTCTGTGTTCTTGGATTTTTTGGAATAGTTTGAGGAGAATGGGTATTAGATCTTCTTTGAATATTAGGTAAAACTCTACCGTGAAGTCATCTGGGCCTGGGTTTTTGTTTGCAGGGAGTTCCTTGATTACATCTTCAATTTCCTTAGTTGTTATTGGTCTGTTCAAGTTTTCTGTCTCTTTCGGTTTCAGTTTTGGGGACTGTGTGTTTCTAGAAATTTTCCATTTCTCCTAGATTGTCCAATTTGTTGGCATATAATTGTTTATAGTATTTTTTAATGATTTTTTGTATTTCTGTGATATCAGTTGTTACTTCTCTTTCATTTCTGATGTTGTGTATTTGAGTCCTCTCTATTTGTTTCTTGGTGAGTCTGGCTAAGGGTCCCTCAATCTTGTTTATTTTTTCAAAGAAACAGCTGTTTGTTTCATTGATCTTTTGAATTGTTCTTTTCATTTCTATGTTGTTTATATCTGCTCTGACCTTTACTATTTCTTTCCTTCTACTTACTCTGGATTTTTCTTTTTGTTTACTTTCTTGTTTTTTAAGTTGTAGGGTTAGAAAGTCAGTTAGGAATTTTTCTTGTTTCTTGAGGGAGGCCTATAGTGCTATGAACTTCCCACAGGAATATTGGTCTGCCACAGGTTACTGCCACAGGTTACTCTCTCAGGTTTGGAAGATTTTGAAATTTAGCAATACTGGTGTTTAACTTTGACCATTCTTTGTTTTGTGTAAGGATATATTGTTCTGAGCTCACCCAGATTTTTAGCCTTAAAATGCACCTATTCATTTCTCATATATGTTTTAAATAGTTTGTTTGTTTATTTATTTATTTTATTATAGCTCTTTATAGATTTTTTTGGATTGAGTAGGGAAAAACAGTAATGAAGGAGGTTTGTTCTTGATAGCGCTTCCCAGTAATCTGCATAATGTATGTTTAGTAGCTAGTCCTCATTACTGCATGTCTCAGTGCAGAGTCTTAAATAAACAACATAAAAGGCAGATATTCACAAATATGAATGAGAAACTAATATGCAATTCAGAACTCTACTTAATATCAAGGTACCCATGAATGAAAGCAAGTGAGACAGTGTTTATATGTGAAATTTGTGCTGGGAGAAAGGAATTATTATTATGATTTTTAAATCCTCACCCAACGATATTTTTCCATTTATCTTCAGTTGGGTATGAGGAAGGGAAGAAAGGAGGGAGAGAGAGAGAAAGAGAGAGAGAGTGAGGGGGCAGAAACATCAATGTGAGAGAGATACATCGATTGCTTTCCTCCCACATGACCCCAACCAGCGCTGGGGACCTAACTGCAACCAAGGTACATGCCCTTTGACTAGAATCAAACTCAAGACTCTTTGGTTCACGGGCTGACGCTCTAACAGCTGAGCCAAACTGGCCAGGGTAAGAGAGGAATTATTTTGTCAGATAGTTTACAGGACCATGACTCCTATCCCAGTATCAGAGTTCTATTCTAGTGACTCATATTCCCCTTTACCTAGATTCAGGGCCTTGCCTTTTGAGATGTAGGGGGTATATCCTGCAGATTTGTTTCTGATTTTCTGTACTCACATATACATCTTTATTATATATTTATCTTCATATAGATGTTACATTTTTTATATAAGTTTGAAGATATTGCTTCCTCACCAGTAGTAGGAGGTCCTTCACACAGCCTTAATCATAGCCTAATTTTCTATTAACCATTTGAGTGCTAAAGTAAGTGAATAAAACAGTAAAATATTGGTTTTAGTAGTTACTCTGGAACAGAATTTTTTCTGCTAAGTATTGCTTGTAGTTTCAGTGGTTATCTTAAGGTCATATCTGGATTATTTTAAAGATCATATCACTAAAATAAACAAGGTACATTTTGTCTTATTTGTTGGCATAGTGTGGTTTGTATAGGTTTTTCTGTGGCTCAGAAAGTCAGGTAAGCCCTGGCCAGTTTGGCTCAGCGGTTAGAGCATTGGCCTGCAATTCAGAGAGAAAGTCAGGTAACTTCTCTGGATACTCAGGATCCCAACCTAGGCCTGTGACTTATAAACTCAAGCTCCCAAGATCTCCTGCTTAATGAATTATACATTAGATCAAACCCTTCCTCTGTTTACCTCTTCTTTTTCTTTTCTCAGAAAATCTTCAAAACTGCAACCTTTTTATTAGCATTATAAACAGGCTCATTATCTTATCCTAACTAGATGTTTCATGAGGGTAAAACAGACATTTTTGTTTTTGATGTCTTTCAGACTGGATGACTGTCCCTGTGAATAAAAAATCTACTCTCAAGACAGATATTTCTGAAGAAGAATTGGAACAATGGATGATAAAGGAAAGATTCACTAGCAATCATTGCTGGAAATATGGTAGCCTATTGGAATGGGGACATGGAGACCAGGAGATAAAGTTGCAGAAAATATTACTCACTCACCAGAAAACCTCATCTGTGGGTAGTGATCAAGAATGTGATGGATCTGGGAAGTGCTGCATCATGAGCTCATCTTGCATTCAAAGTCAGGGATTTCAATCTAGCAAAAAAGCCTTTGAGTGTAGTAAGTGTGGCAAAGTCTTCACTAAGAGTTCAGCCCTTAGTAAACATCAGAAAATTCATACTGAAAAACTTAATTCAAATCAGAAAACTGTTATTAAAGAGAAACGGTATAAATGTAGAGAATGTGGGAAAGCCTTTCACCAGAGTACACACCTTATCCATCACCAAAGAATTCACACTGGTGAGAAACCTTATGAATGTAAGGAATGTGGCAAGGCCTTTTCAGTGAGCTCCTCACTTACTTATCATCAGAAAATTCACACTGGAGAAAAACCTTTTGAATGCAACTTATGTGGAAAAGCTTTTATCCGAAATATACACCTTGCCCACCATCATAGAATACATACTGGAGAGAAACCTTTTAAATGTAACATATGTGACAAAGCCTTTGTGTGCAGGGCACATCTTACCAAACACCAAAATATTCATAGTGGAGAGAAACCCTATAAATGTAATGAATGTGGGAAAGCCTTCAATCAGAGTACAAGTTTTCTTCAGCATCAGAGAATTCACACCGGAGAGAAGCCGTTTGAATGTAATGAATGTGGAAAGGCCTTCAGGGTGAACTCTTCCCTTACTGAACATCAAAGAATTCATACTGGAGAGAAACCTTATAAGTGTAATGAATGTGGGAAAGCTTTCAGAGATAATTCATCCTTTGCTCGACATCGGAAAATTCATACTGGAGAAAAACCTTACAGATGTGGTTTGTGTGAGAAAGCCTTCAGGGATCAATCAGCCCTAGCCCAACATCAGAGAATTCATACTGGGGAAAAACCGTATACATGTAATATATGTGAGAAAGCCTTCAGTGACCATTCAGCCCTTACTCAGCATAAGAGAATTCATACTAGGGAAAAACCTTACAAATGTAAAATCTGTGGGAAAGCCTTTATCCGAAGCACACACCTTACTCAACATCAGAGGATTCACACAGGAGAGAAACCCTATAAATGTAATACATGTGGGAAAGCCTTCAACCAGACTGCAAATCTTATTCAGCATCAGAAACATCATATTGGAGAAAAGTGATATGATTGCAATTTATAAGGAAGAGTTTTGAAACTGAGTATATGAATAATTGAATTTAAGAGAATCCATCTTAGGGGATAACCATGACAGCTTATGTCAAGATAGTCATTTTGTGTACTGAGAGTCAAGCTTTACATTAATGTGAGTTTTGAGAATTTTATAATGTCAGACACTCCTCATGGTTGAGAACTGCCTAAACTGAATGGCAGTACTGTGTAATTAGTCTGACTTACCAAGTAAAGAACCAAAATGGAGCTTCATTAACAACATAGAAATTTGTTTAACAAAATTTACATTTTGATTATTAAGAGAAATTATAAAATTGTAAAAATGAAGGTTAAGAAGCAAAGGAACGAAAGGTAAGGAAATGGTCTACAAACATCTCACTCAACTTGATTCTCTTATATAAGGTTTCAAGCTTCAGTGGAACCCTTTGTTCTTACCCACACTGCTGACATTCAGAGTAAAGAAAGTGCTTTTACCACTGATGCGTCAGCCCAGAATTTAAGTGGTGTTCCCCACTTTCTGCTTCAAATCATCTTTTGTCAGATCTCTCTGGTCTGTATGTCCACTAACTGTCTACCTGTCTTCTCCTTTCTGGACAATTCATTTGAATGGTGTGTCCCTTTTTTGATTAACTGTTTCCACAAGGAAAAGAGAGAGCTTTGTATTTCTGCTTTTGCATTTGAAAGTGGCCATTTCCTCTTCTCCATCTGGGTATTCTACTACTTAAAGATTGTTCAATTTTGACAGTGGTTAGCAACGTTGAGTATTCCACAAATCAAGAAATGGTCAATAGCACCATGATATTCTCTGGCTGGAGCAGTGTCTGTGCTCAAGTTTGAGTGACACTCTAATTCTGCAGGTACAGATCATTCATCTTTAATCCTTCAATGCTGTCAGAAATCACAGTGGTAAAATAACATCTGTATGTCTTCACATACACAGCTTCTGGGGCCACTTCCCCACCACAAAGAATGGGGAACCCACACCATTGCAGGCTGGATCACTCCACAACATAAAAGTAGAAGAGAAGGAAACTATTGTTCTTGGAAGATGGCAGGATCCTGGTCTGTAGAAGTGTTCCCCATCAAGTTGGGTAACCTGCTGACCCCTATGAATGCTGCCACTAAGCTCCAAGTTACAGAGATGGTATTATATGTCATGGTGGAATCAGTGGACTCTAGGTTAAACACAGTTGAAGTGTCCCACAGCCTTAAAGCCTAAGTTCTCTAAATTCAACTTCCATTTAATAAAGGCCACTTGTAGGCATCTCCTGTTAGGTAAATAGTTATTCATCATTCTTCTTATTAAGCTTCAAGTGAAGCAGCATTTCAAAAGGTTACGTGGGACTATCTGTGCTCAGGGCATGTTTTTCTACAGCCCCACATGGCTGGCAACCCCAGATTCCACAATAAACTAGAGAAACTGTGCTCACCACTACAGATATCTGCCTTCAGTGCTATCCATATAAGCTTCCTGGTCCTAACTCTCACCCCCCCGCCCCCCTTACCTTGAATCACTGAGAAACATTTTTCTAAACTGAATTTGTTTTTTGTTTGGTTTTAATCAGAGCTACTGCCACTTGGTATGTGCCTGAAGTTGATCTGGGGCCAAGACCTGCTGCCACTTTAAGAGCCTCATGCATCCCAGTGACAGCTCCAGCAACTCTTCTTCATCCAGAACCAGTACAATTAGGCTTTCCACTTGATATTGTAGTCTACTTTCCCCAAACCCATCTCCTGTCAGGCTTGGTCTTGAAGTTAGATCTCTGTTAAATGCCTATTTACTATTTTCCTGTCTGAGAAGGCAAAAAGTAAATAAAAGGTCTATTAGATATGCCTGGGCCAACTGGATGTATTCATGGTAATATTGTTTGACTAAGCCTTTAGCTGTGGCTTTATTATATTCTGCCATATGATTGACACCTTATTGTGTGACCTCAACTAAGGGTGTCAGCATTTACCCTGGTGCTATTCTGTACTTTCCTAATGTAAAGTAGTATGGCTGTCTGGCTGGGCAATCTGACCTATTCAAGCATTACCTTTGACTTACCCCTAGAAGTGCACTTTTGAGAACTTTGAGGTACAGTTCCTCAGTTACCTTCTCTTCTGCCAACTGATTTGCAAAGTGTTAGACAAAATTTCAACAATTATTCAGAGACTTTTCTCTACCACACCCTCAGCCAGGTTGCTCCCTAGACAAAGATTCCTAGGAACAATTCATTCTGTACTTCACTTTTCTAGGCTTGCTGACACAAGCTCATTTCTAAAGCCTTCAAAGTTTCTTTCAGCAACAAACTCAGGCCACAATTTCTTCCAAGCTGATTGGCATAGTCCTGGAACACACTTCCCCCTGCCCCAAATGTTTTGTTTGTCTATGAGCCTCAAGTGAGGATATTAAAATGTTCCCTCCAGAACTCCCTGAGGGTTAAAGTAGTTACAGATGTCATCTCAAAATACCTCTGAAATAGTGTTTTTTTGTAGAGTTTCTTAAAATTAGAAATGACCTGTTGGTCCATGGGCTAGATGAAAGGAATTATGTTAGGTGGAAAAACCTAACATGGATGAAGCTGTACTTCACCAACTCGGCCAAGCCTGGAGGGTGGGCAGGAGCCTTATCCATTACAAGAAGTGCCCTGAGTGGCAACTGTTTTTCCTGGAGGTATTCACATTTGAGGCAAACACTTCATGAATCCAGTCAATGAAAAATTGTCTGGTTACCCAAGCTTTGCTCTTAACTCTTTATATCACATTCAACTTGTTTTACATGACATTATATTTCTTGAAAACACAAGTTTTCATAATGGTAGATAAGTAGAGGCTTCAAGTGAGTCCCTGCTCACATTCCCACACAACAATAACGTCAGCCTGTCCTTCATTGGCTTGTGTCCTGGCAATGACTTCTGTGTGATGTAGGTCTTCCTTGGCATTTTCTTCCTTAAGAGACCTGTTGCATCACAATTGAATACTTGTTGGGGAACAAATCCTCAGCCTTCTTGAAATTATGTCACAAAATTAGCAGCTACTTTGTTAGAACTGGCAGCCTCCACATGCCTCATTACACTATGAATGCTGCTTTTTCCCTTAAATTTATCAAACCACTCTTACTAACCTTAAACAAATCACCTTCAGCGCTCATTCCAGGGGTCTTTCAGGAGGTCAGCATGAAGCATCTTTGCTTTTTCACATATTATTGCCTTCAAAATGCTATCACCAGCTCACTGCTTTTTATCCAAATCAACATTTTTAAACCTCTTCAATGGCCTGTAATCATTGTTTCATGAGCACTTTCACACCCTTAGCAACCTCAGCATTCTTGATGGCCTCTCTATGTTTTAAAATTGTGCTAATTGTCAGTTTCACCATGCCATATTCAGTAACCAGATCAGACACACAAACATCTCTATCATACTTTGCACTTATTTATTTATTTATTTTATTTTTAATTTTTTTTTATCCTCACCCGAGGATATTTTTCCATTTTTTGTACAGCTAGAGTAAGAGGGAGAGAGAGGAAGGGAGAGAGAGAGAAACATCGATGTGAAGGGACACATCGAGTGGCTGCCACCCGCACGGCCAACCAGGGCCGGGGACAAACTGCAACCGAGGTACGTGCCCTTAGCGGGAACCGAACCCAGGACTCTCTGGACCGCAGGCTGACGCTCTAACCGCTGAGCCAAACTGGCCAGGGCTGCACTTATTTATTTTTTAAGCTCTATCACTGTTCTCACAACTTTCCTTTTCACTTTGCTGTATCACTAGCCTACTCAGAACCCACAGTGACTTACTGTACATATTTAATAATAAACAGCAAAATCAAACAACCCCCACAAACATTCATAGCACAATTTCCTGAGATGTTAACAACACGAGGTTTAGTGGTAAACTGACCCATACTCTTGCATTCTCTCCTTTGCTTGTTGCCTGAGACATGTGTGACTGATCATACAGATAGCATGAAAATGTTGTTGGGTCGAGAAATGAAATTTTGTTCAACAACTGAGACATTTATATGTGAACAACTTGGTCAAGAACTGAATTGTGTGAGATGGGAGATGCTTGAAAACCAAAGTTTGATTACATTCCATTGCTTGGATGAACCATGATGTATTTAAAAAGTGGTCCAAAATTTTTGTGCAGTGAGGTTGTTTCATTGTTTCAAAAATGCTGCAATTGATGTCCTTGGATATATGCCATTTCATACTTTGTAAGTCTATAAGAAGAAAAACTCCCTGAAGTGGGCTGCTGGGATCAGAGGGTGTATGCAATTTTTAATTTAAAAAAACAATGCCATCTTGCCCTCTGTGGAAGTTCACTAGTGTGTGCCCACCGCCATGAGAGGTCAGGGCCATTCCCAATCCCTTGCCAGCACAGAACTTTAGCTTACCCTTTGATCTTTGCCAGTCTGATAAAAGTGTTTCAGTGGGTTATCCATCACCTTTATTGAGATATAATTGAAGCATAACTTTGTGTAAGTTTAAGATACACAATGAAATGATTTGATACACATACATATTGTGCAATGTTTAACACAGTAAGGTTAGTTAACATGTTCTTCACCTCACATAATTACCATTTTGCTGTTGTTATGAAAATAATAATGCTCTATACTCAGCAGCTTTCAAGTATATGATACAGTGTTGTTAACAGTAGTCACCATGCTGTATATTAGCTCTCAGAATTTATTTTATCATTGAGAGTGCATTATCTTACTATGAATTAGACTGGGCATCTTTTTATATGCTTAAGTGCCACTGCATCTCTAATTATAGGCTTGTTGGTTTTTAGAAATCTATACATAGGTTGTCTTCCCATAACAAGGCAATTAGACTTGTTAGCTTTAGTCTTAAGTTGCAAATATATTTTATTACTTTTTTGTTGTTATTGGAACTGTACACAATGAGGTGTTTATTACAAAAGTTTTTTATTTTTTACACAAAATTGGTTAATCTTTTTTTACTGCTTCTGAATTTTAAATCAAGATTACTTTTTAAATTGTGCACTGTTTTCCAGTTTTATGTTAAAAACTTTGATTTTTTGGAATCATTTTGTTGTAAGATATGGATTTATAGAACCAATTAAATTTTTTCCATATGGCTATCCAGTTGTCACAATGTTACCAAATACAAAGGGTTCATCTCTTGGTGAGTGTAACCCGATGAATCTTGACCAA